AAATGACGAGACAACTCACCGAAGCGACGAGAATCATGAGAGTGTTTGCAAAAGCGATAAACGAAGCCGAGTTGCACGGCGACAAGGTGAACCGATTTTTTTTCGACGAGTTCCAACACGTCATCGACCCGACCGTCAGCGACGAGGAGTGGGAAACCAGACATTTCTGTACTACCCGTGGAAAGAGGTATCTGAAATTTGGACATTTGAAAGTGATAAAAGAGATCGACAGATTGAGGACTGCGTGCAAATCGGAGTCTCGGCGCGTGCCTCCACCTCCCTTTCAGATCGCCAGAAGGTGCATAGTGCATCGCGACCCGGACGACCCTTTCAACAGGATGGTGATTAACCGAAGCAAGGAAGGTTTGGACGTTCGACCGAAAGGATACGATCGCCCGTCCGCGGTGAATTGGATATCTTCCGTTCTCGGCGACTGGCCTTGCGAACGAGGACGCGTGGCGGACGTTTTGGCGATCGCGCAGAGGGCGTACTCGTTTCATCCTTGGAAGTACATGATGGCTTACACGGTGGGCGACGTGCTGAACGAATTGTGTCCCGGTTTCGGTTGGATGTCTCTCCGGACGCTGGAAGAAAGCGACAGATGCCGGGTGTGTCTGGACGCGTACTCCGAGGTGATGACTTTGCCTTGCCGACATTTCACGTCCTGTCGATCGTGCTCGAAGCGGGTGAACAACTGTCCGACGTGCAGACGTCCCATCGAACGGAGGCTGTCGGAGTGGGAGATACCGGACGGTACGAAAGTGTACAGATGAAAATTAATTGACAAAAAAAAAATAATAATAATAATAAAAGAAATCATTTAAAGATAATCTGTTGTATGCGAATGAGTCCGTGGGTCGACGGTCCGGACGAGCTGTGGCATACTATTATAAAGGATTAAGATATTATAGTTTTCAGTCAAATGCATCCTGTGCAAAAGAAAAACAACCCATAGAATGCCCGAGCGGGACGAGATTTCCGAAGGTTTCTTCGTGATGCGTGGTTTTCTGGCGAAGGGATTTCATCGATTCAGGATAGGCGACACCGACACCGGACGGCACGTTCGTTTTTACTGTGTCATCGGGGACAAAGGAAATATATTTCACCAAAGTCCAATATTCGAACAACAGAAGAACGCTGAGCCCGCCTTTATTCGCATAGATTCCACGTCGATTTCTAGCAAGAGTCATACATTCGAATATTACAACGACGGATGTGAGGGAAACAAACGCATTGCAGTTGCAACAACAGATTCAGAATGTTTTTTCGCATATAGCTACGAATGGTACGACGAAATGCCTTCCCTGAAGTTGCTGTGCAAGCGAACGATCGTCTCAAACGACGTGCATCACGAAGTATTACCCATGTTACTTAGAACGTACGTACAACAGGAGGACAAACCGCCCGTCTCTCTGTGGATAAACAAATACATGTACTGTAATCGTCCCCTTGATTTTGTGAATTGAGTATTATGATATACGTTATTCAGTTCACACCAAACTTTCATTTTTTTTTATTATGTGGGTTGAATAAAACAAAAGCAAAACAAACAATTTATGTGTCAATCTTCGTTTTATTTAAATGCATTACGAACGAAGCCCGGGTGAGCTTCGTGTGTGTGCTAGGTTCCGTGACTTCTGGACCTCTCAAGTTAAAAAAAAAAACATTTTTACAAATTGATTTGAGATATGAGTACGACACTTTTTGGGACCAGTGTTGAAGGATAGGTAGGACCTTGCTCATATATCTCTTAACGTTATGAGATCGAACGAAGCCTAGGTGAGCTTCGTGGGTGGGCTAAATTCCGTGACTTTTGGACCTCGCAAAGTTCAAAAAAATTTTTTTTACAAATTGATTTGAGATATGAAGACGACACTTTTTGGGGCCTGTGTTGAAGGATAGGACCCTGCGAAGACAACAGAGAAACCCAAATTCCGCGTCTTTCGTTCCACGAAGACAGCGGAAATCGGGTTTTCAAGACGGAATTCGCACACTCCTATCTCTTAACGTTGGAAGATCGAACGAAGCCTAGGTGAGCTTCGTGGGTGGGCTAGGTTCCGTGACTTTTGGACCTCGCAAGTTCAAAAAAAAATTTTTACAAATTGATTTGAGATATGAAGACGACACTTTTTGGGACCAGTGTTGAAGGATAGGACCCTTCGAAGCCAACCGAGAAACCAGGTTTCCTTTCGTCTTCGTGAAACGAGAGACGAGAGGAAACCGGGTTTTCAAGTCGGAATTCGTACACCCCTATCTCTTAACGTTATGAGATCGAACGAAGACAGGGTGAGCTTCGTAGGTGGGCTAGGTTCCGTGACTTTTGGACCTCGCAAGTTCAAAAAAAATTTTTTTTTACAAATTGATTTGAGATATGAGGACGACACTTTTTGGGGCCAATGTTAAATGATAGGACCCTGCGAAGCCAACCGAGAAACCCGAATTCCGCGTCCTTCGTTCCACGAAGGCGAGAGGAAACCGGGTTTTTAAGTCGGAATTCGCACACTCCTATCTCTTAACGTTATGAGATCGAACGAAGACAGGGTGAGCTTCGTGGGTGGGCTAGGTTCCGTGACTTTTGGACCTCGCAAAGTTAAAAAAA